ATAGACGCAGTAAGTCGAGGGCAACAGTGAGTCGCCTCAGGAGTAAGGCGTGGACGCGGTAAGTCGTGGACAATGGTAATAGTTAATCGCGAGTGCAGTAAGTCATAGTGACGGTGAGTGGTGATGGTCAAAAGAATTTTTGTCAAACAAATTATCTTTTAATGTGTCTAACTCATTGAAAGAGGGGAAGATTAATCTTGTCATTTTAATGTGCATAGCTCTTTGAAATAGAGTAAGAATGTACATGATCTTCATATTGACAAGTACAAATCTAAGAGTTTAAAAGTGCACTAGTTACTGAACCTAAGTTAAGAAGAACACTCCTTAACTTGAGATGAGAGTTTAAGAGTGCACTGGAGACTAAGATTTCTTAACTCATGTTAAGGTGAAGATTGTTAGTTACTTCTGTACATTATTACTCTATCGTGTTATGACTATGTCAGAGTTTCTAGTTAACTCTTGTTTAAAGAATGACCGTGCGGTAGGTTTCCGTCTAGAACTTCCTACGGATTAATAGTATAGGTCAGAGAAGTTACTAAGTTTCCTTTAACATAAATTAAGGGGAAGATTGTTGAGGTTAACTCCTGTTAAGAAGTAACCTCATGTCTTAACTATATTTAGTTATGACGGTCATCTACACAAGGGTTAAATACACGGCTTCTGCTGTACATGGGATCAATCTTGTGAGTAAGAGTGCAGCGTGTTCTCGGTAGACGTAGCCCTGATTACAGGATGAACCACGTTATATCGTCTCGGTTGAAACTTGATTTTTAGTGTTTTCAATATGTTCTAGGTTTTATGTTTACATTGGTTACAGCTAAGATATTTCTAACAAAATTTTTAAAGAACAAATATTTTTTTGTTTTTGTTTTGTTTATTGAATAATAATTTCCCAAACTTGAATCAAATGTTAGATTTTGTTGTATCGGCATGTTTTTAATAACCATTAGTGAAGTTTTATATGAGAGCTCAATGCTTGGAAGAATCATCAGAAATTTGAATACTTAAGTCTTTGTAATGCATATACATCATGTATATTGAGCAAACCTTCTATAATATCTTTTAAAAGTTTATCATTATGAATTTATATACTTAGTTACAATATATACATTAAAGAAACTTGTAAAAACTAATCTTGTGAACTTTATCAATTTTTAGAAAACAAGAGCAAGTAAAAGTATAGAATTTGAAATTATTTAATGAATATATTGTAGTTCTTTTTAAAGAACGAGTGTTACACATATTTTGTCTTAACTCAATACTCTATACATATGTTCAAAACCAAGTACAAATAATCATCCAATGATATAACAACAGTTTCTTCAATCTGGAATCATTTTCAATCAAAAGATTAATATGATAATATAATTCAACTATAACATAAAACATAGTTCAAACTATTATGCTAAAAAAAAATTAAAATTTATTGATGAAAGATTATTATGTTAGATATTGCTTATAGAATTTAAGTTGCTTTAAATTTTATGTGCATATATAAAAACAACACAAATTCATGATTGCTTTCATATATACATATGATTGGTTTAATATATTAATGAGAAAGAAAGAGACATGTATAATTAAATTGATCTGAAAGATGTTAGTTAACTTGCATATTTTGAACAAAAGATAAATCATTATGATTAAAATAGAAGATCATGCAAAATTTTGATTTGATGACAATTTAAGTTTTATTATAAAATATGTTGTTTCAAAGGAATAACAAATACCATAATATTGGACAAGAAATAATTTTTAATACAAATTTTCTTCATATTCTTAAGTATTATGCATGAATTGACCTATATACAATATACTAGCAAAGTTTTTTTATGTTTTTGAAGATCTCTGATTATTATATAAACATAAATAAATATAATCATACTATGGTATTATAAATAAGAATATGTTGTTGAATATTGTTTAAAGTTATGGTTTGCATAGTATAAGATGTGTAGTTTATGAAAAAAATTACTATGTTGAAGTTTTTCTTGCTTATGATTGGAATAATAACAAAAAATGATAATATTCTCATGTGTATATACACATTATAAAACGCATGGTGTTAGAATTTACATTGGATGCATGATAAGCTACATTTACTTTATAGTGATGTCCTTGCTAATTATAATATACTATTGAAATAAGCAACAAATCAATGTATTTTTAATAACATAATTATTAAACTAAAACATTAAAGAAAAGATAAATCACATTTAAATATGAAAAAAATATTAAAATATTAAGAAAATATGATAAATATTAGTGTGACTTTAAATTCCTACATGCATGATCAAATATTGTTTAATCATAATAAGTAAGGTAAATATTTTGTATTGATAAAAATTGAATACATACAAAATTAATTGCGACAAAATTTGACTTGAATGTTATGTATTATTTCACGATCAATGCAAACAAAATATTAAACTATTTCATTGTCTCACAATAATATATCTTTAAGATACTGCAAATTCAAGTGCAACTTATAGCCAAAAAATTATAAAATTCATAATAAGATTGACTTGAAATGTTTACATATATCTCAACTTGATTTATAATAAATAAAATATAAAACTCTTAAAAATATGTTATGAATAAATAAATTATTTATAAAAACACAGGCACTTTATTTTTAAATTTTGTTTCTATGAAAAAATGTCTGTAATACGTAATCAATGTTATGATCATATATTTTAAAAAAATGATGTCCTTATTTTTAAATACCGTATTGATGAAATGTATTGAAAAAAAAGTTGAGTACGTTCACAAATTATTAAATCTTACTAAAAATTGTGGAGCTTCAAAGTCATAATTACATTTCTTCAAGTCATCTTCATTGTCTAAAATTTGAGAAATATATTTAATATTCATATGAAAAATAATAATGGCCTGAAAATTCTAAATATCATGTAATATATTTTAAAATATGAGATTTAAAGGAAAATTATTTTCATATATTTTCAAGAACAAAATGACGATATATGTATTGAAAAAAAATATTACAAAAAATCAATATATCTGTACGCTTCTTCTGTTTGAAAATAGATTTTACTCACAATACATTTTATAATTACTTCTCGTATATAATTGAATGAAATGTTTGTATGAATGTACATAAACTCTTTTGCATTGATTTGATTTATGTTAAAGTTAAATCTTGATCAAACAGTAAATACAATGATTATATACAATAAAAAACCTAAACTTTTCAATTTTTAAGATAATTTATAATTGTGTGGCTTTTTAAAATAAAGTTAGATGGCCTGTAACAAGTAAATATTTGTGTGTTGTATATATTATTCATTCAAATTATTTATGTACCATTTGACTTCTAATTGTAATGACTTTACACAAGTGGTAGACTCATTTACTGTAAAGATATATTGTTGCAAGTGCTTAACACATACGTTTATGCAACATTGTTACCTTTTAGAAGCAAGATTGTAAAAGCAATTTTTAAATTGTCATTTCATGTCACATGACAAAAGTGCTAGAAATTGACATCAAAAGCATTGTTGAATGTCAATTATGATAGATGTATCTCCATATGAAGCTTAGATGTTACATGAAATTGATAAATCTATTTGTGCAAACATATATTAAATGACATATCATTCATATACTGATATAAATTTTCATAATATTTTTCAAATATCTTGAATTCAAACATGAAATAGCGGTGATAGTTATATTTTTATTTGAATCAAAAGCATTTTACGTGCATGACTTTACAAAATGATTTGAGAGCTGATAGCTTTTATAATACTCATTTTTCTCCAGTCATTTTACTGTTTTTTAATGTCATTATCTTTTATCATACTTTCTCATATATATGATTCTACATTTAGCTACTCTTTATCAGTTATAGAGTACATGTAGTATGATCAGTTTGGCATGACCTATAAGAAAGCTTTTTCTTAAAAAGTTTCAGATGTTTCGGCCATGTCGAGCTGTATTCCACAAGTTTATAATTTGATTGACTTTTAGCTTCATCTTGAAAGACGGAGAATCAACATAAAAAAACGTATGGCAAGATTTCCTTGTCACTTTATTCTTCATCTCCTTGCTTTTTATGTCGACGTATACTATCGAGAAATCTATAGCATAAGACTACGTAGTACATCTCCAGCTTTGATTATCTACTCTTGATATAGCTTGACAAGAGTACTTGGAAAATATATCTCCAACTCTTAATCTAGACTGAAGAATTTGATTGGATCATGATGTGCATAACTCTAGACACATGTCAAGCAGTAGACATGAGATAAGCGAAGGTGACTGAGACACATGCACCCAAAAAAACCAAATCCTTTCCACCACATGCTTCGATAGAGTCAGATGCATCTATAAAGATAACATGCTTTCACTAACTTCCGAGAAGTACGAACCAAAAAATTGCTAGAGTAGTGACGACAGCCTCTGAAGTATTCATTCCGAATGAAATACTTGACAACTTCGAATGAATTAAGACTTATGATATCGTCCAATAAAAGAATAAAATCCTCATGCAAAACCAAAATCTAAAAATTAGTCCCTTAATACTCACGCTTCCAAAAGAAACAGCATGAGCCGTAGGATAATGATATTATACACTTGGAATCTTATCCCGTAACACGGTATGTATATTGGACAGATGTGGATCAGTAAATGACCGAGTACTCTCTAATCATTGTTCGTCTAGAAATGGATGAGACAAAATTACTAATGTATTTCAACTTGAACAAACTAACTTGCAAGTGGATGAAATAACCCAATTGAAATTTGCTTTACTTTATATGGTGAGGTAAGCTTATCCCTGTCACGAGGGAAACAGTTTCTTATATTTTTCGATTGCAGAAATTCTAAAAATAGTGAGATTAAAATTTAACATTTCTCGATCAAAGGAAAATACAATATATGGGGAAATAAATGATTTCATGTTGCAGAATATTGGAATTTTGTTTTTTTCTTGAGACATTGTCATTCCTCCGCTGGTCGATGAATTCCAATTCGATGTGGAGATTTGATGGAGAACGGAGTCTGGGGACTGTCACAGGAAGCGAGTGTCTGGCTATGGGGCCAGCGGTGTCGATTCGAGCTCGGGCGATGAGAAGTGCTGGCTGTGCTGACGACGGGCGGCCTCGGCTGCGGTGAATGGGGAGGGTGGTCTCGCGACTGCAGAGTTGGAGAAAATGTCGGACCAAATGGCGATGGTGATGAGCATGGAGATCGGGGAGAGTATGCAAGAGCTGGCCGCGGAAGGGCAGAAGCATTTGGAGGGCACTGTGGACGCAGCGCATGACATTCTCGCGTCGCTGAATGAGGTGCTGTGCAATCCGGTGTTGTGGGCGCAACCGGTCCCCGAAAGCAGCAGCAGTAGCAAGCCTGGTGGAGCTCCGCCGCAGCAAGAGCAGGGCTGGCTTGCGTTAGAGACCGGACGCCTGCGTTACAAATCCACCACTGCTGCGCTACGCGCTTCTATCAACAACATTTTCAACAAACCCCAGGTCGGTTTTGGTTCCTGCTATGTTTCAAATTGTGCTCGTGGATTCAGCACTGATCGACTGGTTGACCGGCGCTTTGGAATCAGATGATCCATAATTTTGAACTGTCAATGTTTGGAGCAGACTGTTGAAGGATGGTACAGTCGAGATTAACCTTCGTTGTCGAGAAATGATGTGTGTGTGCGAGTTAGTCGTTGACAGTAGAGTTTGATCAAATTGCCTGATTTTTTACGTTTATTTGGAAACCTAATTCAGCTGTTTTATCACACTTGTAGCTGTATTGCAACTTATGGTCTCTGTAAAGAGAATTTGCGTGGTGAAAACTGAGGTCTTGTAGCTTCATCGCAGCTGAATTTAGATTATACAGGAAATATATCTTGCCTGGTCTTGCAAGATTTTACAGGAAATATTTAGGGAATGCGTATGGTATTAGCCGAGTTTATCATCCAGTATTGGGTGGAATCTGTTGATATTTACAAATTTTGCAATTCAGATGAGAGCACAAGAAGGTGATTCCGGCCAAGATAAGGGCTCAGCAGCTGATCTTGATCAGCTAGAGAAACAGGCTGCACGACTTAGAGAGGTATAACTCCATATATTGCCCAAAAGTCTGAAGTGATAGCCGAAAAATGCTTTGTGTGTCAAGTTCATGAAGGTTTCTTTTTCAATCTGCACTCTGATATCTTTCAACGAAAGTGGTTATAATTGATGTACTTGACTTTTTCTTGTATGAAGAGGACCTGTAAATCTTTTTGTCCAGGACTTATCAGACAAATCCATTTGATTCAAACTCATTTAAGTTCGTTCACATCGCTGAATGTATTGATAGCTGAATTACATAAAACAAAAGGGATTATTAACATCTTCTGTCGTGAGTTTGTGAACTGCACAGGAAGCCACAAGGAAAAACCAAATGGTGAAGCTGTTGATAGACCAATCGCGTGACTTGGTGTCCGATATCTCCATGTGGCAAAGTGCTGAGTTATGAACAGGCGTTGCTGTACATAGGCTATATCAGAGTTACGAGTGCGTGTGCAAGGTGTTTACGTACACAGAGATATGGACACAGAAACGACCAGTACTGACGGTCGTCAGTACATCTAAGGAGAAGTCCGAAGTTCCCTGAATATCATCTCAAATGATGGTTTCTTTTGAGTTGCTAGACGTTCAGGTATCACACATCCACATGCTTCCTCTGTGAAGATAAAAATTCAGCGTTTACCACGTAGATCATTCTGCACTGAAAGTTTTGTAAAATAGTGAGGACACGAAGGGAGCTGCTTACGAAATTTGTAGATTTAGGTTAGTCGAAATGGTTCTATGTTATAGATGGGAGGCACTCATCTCACGGAAGACAGGTAGGTCAGAGCGAAATTAATTTGAGGTGACTCTCTGCTATCACCCGAGTTAGATTTTTACCTGTTTTCTGTCCGGAAGTCATGGTGGTAATGTCATCACGTTATACCTTTTTTTTTTCAGATATTTAGATGACCTTGTCAAATTTTGCCCGATGATTGGCACTTACTGAAAGTTGCTTCTCCTGCGCACACGAGTAACTTATTGTTGCTGCAAGCCTGCAACTGTGAACAGTGGGCATCTACTTTTGAGTACGTCGTGGTACAACTGTCGTTTGATATTGGATGAAGGGAGTTGTAGTGAGACGTTAGAAGTGATATTTTCAACATTTTTTCTGAATCCGTCGTCCTCCAAACTGTTTCCTTGCACCCATCAGACCCACTTGAGTTTATCAGCACTGCAGGTTGTTAGCTGAATTCATTGGATCTGCTTCGAAGATGAAAATTTGAACGCGGTCGTAGACATGTATGGAGCGCCAAGTGCAAGTGTACTTTGTTGCATATAAAGGGTTCACTGGGTATGGTCGATATAGCATGATAACATACAATGCACGCTCTGCCCATGAGCAAGGATTGTAGTAGCTCGCGACACATGAAACGATGCTTTTGGGATCAGTAAAATTTGTATCCTTTGGAGCCTACAAGAACAGAATGCAACCCGAACCTTAACACAACTGCACTGATTACATCATTATCCCGCGGGTTTCGAGGACGGAAATGTACTTGTGTAACAAGTAGCGAAGATTCCGACAGTGCCCCTCTGGGTGTAGTGGAAGGTGGGTACCACAGGTGAATGCATCTGGTAAACTTGGGAAGTAATGTGTCTTCAGATTACACAGTTTTTGGTCTCTGACACGATTTTTCACTTCGCGAAACTCTTGTACCTGTTTCATCCCGATCTGGCGTCTGATGTGACGCCAAACGTGCATAGGTCCATAATTTGAAACTGGATAAGGCAGTTTTTCCTTTTCATCACATACCTCTGATGCTGTATGAGGCAGTGTACCCACCCATAAACCCCTCGAAGGATGGATCAACCAGGTTACCAATCGAACCCCCTTCCATTAACCTGATGAGGATCGCGGTAGTTGCAACCTCTGAAGAATGTCACCTTCCTTCAAGCAAGTAGATTAATCCAGTCATTAACATCCCCCACTTCTCTCACATTCGCCTGCGCGGTAGGCTTAGATCGACACCAGGATGTGCACAATGCGCCACCACCACCCTGAAGACCAACAAGTGTTCGGTGCCCATTTAACGACTCAATCCATGTTGACTAAATGTTATGGAGATAGATAAGGTTAGTTACATGCAGATACGATACACTGTAGTGGGTGCTGCAGGATACCGAAGTAACTCGTTGTTATGGACGTGGAGGGAGTCCAGATACTTGCTGATAGGTCCGACGAGGTCATACCAAATCTCTCAGTGGAACACTTTGAAGAGTAGGTTTCCTGGCATATGTCGTTCAACTGACCTCTGCTTGCCAAACAGGGAGCGTAGGTACATGGCAGTCAGGTTCATTCAAGATCCTCTGTCTGTCTTCTCGAAAAAGATTGTATCAACTAAAAATTGCTAGTCTGGTCTATGTTCACGATGTATGTTTTTGGCGAAATGATGTTCCAAATTTGTCATTGCATCGAGACGAGGAGTCCGGTCATCTGCCCATATTTGTTTGCGAGAGATGAAGCCGTGAGTAAGCTGCTGCTGATGTAAAGGATGCAAGGCGCATGGAGTTGCTTACGAACTCGGAAGCATGCAGAGACAAAGATGATGAGCAGCGCAACCATCCCCTTATGGTCTCACTCAAGCCGTTGACTGTAGACGCAGGGGCTCCATACCCTTCCACATTTCTTTGATGAATCGACAAGTGTCGACAATTTCTGTCCATAGAGCCTGGGAGAAGATTCTCACAAAACTACACCGTGTAAAACTTGCATGGGTGATCAAACGACTTCGTACCACTCGATGCAGGATTGTCTTCTAGAAGAAGAAAACATCTCAATGGTGCACTCTTTTACCGAGGTTTGGGAGTGACGCACATATTCTTTAATGGAGCGGAGCCAACATCTTCATAATTAAAAGGAGAAGGTTTGCCGTTTTTTCGCGTCCAACTGCGGCAGCTTGATGCATTTGCACGAAACGAATAGAATCCAGAAGTCTTTCAAAAACCCCGAAAGCAGAATCTTTTATTAGACATCGGTGCTCCTTTTCTGCTATCTGAAGGTGGTGACCTTAATTTGCAACCTCGCTGGCTGGAATGGCCGCTGGACTCGCTCGCAAGACAAGTGCTGCATGCTGTATTCCAATCCAAGGGAGGAAGACTCGTCTGTGGGATATGGTATGGGCAGAGCAATCCCAGAGTGAAACTCACAAGTTACCGAATATGCTTTGTACGTGGGAACACCATGTTTCTCATTGTCCATGTGCTTTTGACTGGACTCGCAACGAGCTCAAGTACTTGCAGTAATTCTCTTGGCCTGGTCTTTGAGCAGCTAGACACTACGAGCATGTGAACGTCCTCGGAAAGCAGGTGCTGCATGCAGAAAATACCTGCTGCTGCTATGACCCGACCTAGACACGAAAGTAGCTTCGATTGACCAGCGTCCAGCATCGTGTCCAGTTGTTTTTCCTGGTGCCGTGCACTTCCTGCTACTGCTTGCTAGAGTGTTTAGTGGTGAGCTCGTTAATTGTTCACTTCGAGACTGTCAGCTCAATGTGACCGCAAATGCTCCATGCTGAAGTGGAGCGCGGTCTATCGGTTGATCAGAGAGGTTGATATTGAGTGACTGCAACTCAAAGTTTCAGCTCTCACTCAATGAAGTTACTGCCGGAGTGAAAGATGGTCTGTTGGTCTTTGGCTGAACCATGAAAGTATTTCCACCTTAATGTCTTGACTGAAGACACTGTCAGTTTACTAATTCAGCAAGCTGCTGGTTGCTTCAAGATGGAGTGCAGTGTGGTTCATCGTCATACACAGGGGCGAGAACATGAACTGATATGGCTGAGACTCAGTAGTATGATTTACTTTTGTCAGTTCCAACCCAAACAGCGACGGTTCCTTGTGTCTGGAGTGAAAGGCGGTTCATCAGGAGGCCTAATCTGCCCAAACATCAAACACCGCACCGTAATAGTGAGTACTTGAGGAGCTGAGAAGTGCCGTTAAAACATTCGTGGAGCAGGTTCTCGGTGCTTGAGTGAGAGATGGTTCGTCGAAAGCCAGGACAGTGAGTGAGTGAGCTCAATGAGCCGGTTTATGTGCTGAGCTGAAGCCTGATGAAAATCTGCGTGGACGCAAGGCAAAGCAGGGTAAGGTAAGAAATGGGCAGGGAAGGGAAGGTAAGGGAAGGTAGAAGGATGTCAAATGAAGGCAAGGCCCAGAAATTGACCCCAGGCGAGACAGAGGCCGCTGCATGCCGGTTGGAGTGAAAGATGGTCCATGGAGATGTCTGTGGACAAAACATGAAAAAGTTGCACAAATGGAACGGCAGCTCAGGCCTCCCGAGCTGGCGGATGGGATGGGAAACTCCATGGAAGCTAGGCAGTTGCGAGGAGGCGAGACAGGCGAAGGTCGTTGCATGCCCAAGCCCCAAGGAACCTAGGCAAGGCAAGGCAAGGCAAGGCATGGCGAGGCAGGGAGGGGAGAGGAGAGGAGAGGAGGGCTGCTGCATGCTCCATGGAGTGGAGGATACGGTCATCTACACGATGGATGTTGAGTCGGCCGATTTTCACATGTGATGCAGGAGCAGCAAAAGGAAAGATGCTGCTGGGAAGCTGGTACATAGTACCTTTAGCATGACAAATAACAACACAAACACATGGAAGTGAACACATGTGTGTGTGTGGGGTTGGGTCGGACTCGGTTTGGGGCTTGGTTCCAACTTCCGAGCAGCTACTTAAGCTAAAGGACAGAAGAGTCTGCAGTCCTCTCTCGTGCGCTGTGGTTCTGAATTGAATGCATTTACGTTCGGATTACATTGACAAGATGCACGTGTGTTTCAACAGTCCGACTGCCACTGCCACAAACACACATCACCACCGGCCCCCTGCCCTCCGTCCCTCGCTCAGTCGGTGGCCCAACAACAACAACCCACTTTAAAATTTAAAAGCGCCTGGAAATTACGATCAAGAAGGAGAAGGGTTGGTGTTGTTGGTGCTTTTAGGGCTGGCCCAGGGCACAAACGCAGCCATCAATTCTCTTATGGACACAACTCAGCGACGCTTTTCATTTAGTTATCCAACAGAACACAGCGCTGTACTTTTCCTCTAACCAGGAGGAGGAGGAGCCCTTCATCTCTAATTCTCTGACCATTGCTTCTATTTATTTATTTATTGGGCTACACTACACTTCCCTTCCCCTCCCATCCCCTCCCCTCCCCTCCACCACCGCATTGTACATTGTACTGCCTCTGCTTCTTCGTCTTGCTTCCCCTCATCGCTTTGTATCCATTTGCGTTCTATTCCGAGCTTGCAAAATAAGATCATCACGGTACGTGGCTACTAGCATGTGCCATTAGATACATAATGCTGTACTTGCAACTCTCCGTCATGTGAAAGGCCATAGACGGGTTCTCCTGGTCCAGAAGTTCCAAACGTCACATTCTTATGAGCGGTGGTTTTTGTTCAATGTGTCGACTCTGCTCGCTGCTGCTGTGCTTGAGCTAAGAGTAGTAATTAATGGTCGATCATCGGTAAACAACCATTGTACATATGTGAAAGCGAGGTTTAGGGGTGATCTGCATTCTCGTGGTCCATTAAATGGCTGCAAAGGCGGAAGGAGAAGGACTGCACAGTTGGGACTATGGTCTCCATTTTTGACCGGTAGCATGCTCTTTTTGCATCGGAGCTCCTCAGCACTCGTATGCATGCAAGGTACAACATTTGTTTGTTCTTCGGACCCACAATAATTATGACATCACTGCTTTCATAGCGTAACGAAAAAAAATGGCAAAAGAAATAAAGGTCTGACTGCATATCAAAGAGGAAGCGAGCTATGGATGGACCAAATCGCCTCAAACGCTGGTCCATCCATGGGATGGACGAGGAAATACTTCTCTTCCAATAGCGGTTGGTTCTGGGCACAATATTATATAGTTCCTGACTTAGACCCATATCTCAGGACAACTTGTGGATGGAAAAACATGGAGAGTTGAGATGCAACGAAAGTACCAATCACTATTGAAAGGGAAATCACGTGAGAAAGGAGGTCCCGGTAAAACACTCAAATGTACAAATATTGCAAGAATAAGTCAACACCCATACCGCTGTTCAATTCTAGGCAGAAGTATAAAGTAGCACATTGGACTATGACGGATTTTTAATCTTTTTATTTCACAAATGGATACATCTGCTGAACTGGAAGAATCAATATTTTCCTACACATTGCAACCATTGGGGCTAGAACTATTCTTTAGGCGACCACCTGATAACCTCAAGTGCATACCATTTGCTGGAAAGAAAGACGCAAAAGCTCTAGAAAGAACTGACTTTTTGATGTGATAAAACAGCAAATCTGGAATTGAACATTTGGTGTTCTGAAGTCAACCAGGTAAGAGATCTTGAGTCGAGTAAAACGCCCCCGATTGGCTGGCATTTGGAGCGATTAAGCTCTCGACGTTCATCATAATGCGATGGCAATGCAGGAAACCGTGGACGTGGACAGGATTTAGACTTGGAAAAGTGGAAATGCGAGATGTAATTGAGGCTATGAATAGACAGATCTCAACCTTTTGCATCGACGAGACTGATACGTCGCAGCAAGACGAGGCGGAGACCGAAAGTTTTCCACCGGCGAGGAGATTCTAAATGATCAGTCCTCAGATGACTCTCGTTGGATGCGAAGAGCATCATGGCCAGCGAGGTGGTGGGGGGTAGGGCATCGGAGCATTGTGAAAGCTGCGGATTGTTTAAGCGGACAAGGGGCCGGCCATGATATGATCACTATCGCCTTTTCTATCTGCGCCTTTTGTGATATATCGCAGATGTGGATGTAAGGATAAATGCTCTGTCCACGGAGGAGGTGCTTGGAGGTGGTCGCGGGAGCAAATAAAAAAAATACTTGTGCGGACTGACTTGGAGAGGAGAGGAGAGGAGAGGGAGGGAGGGGAAGGCGACTGACTGACAGACAGGCGACACTCGGTAGATCCTCTCGTCGCCTTGCTCCTGGCGCTCGAGAGGACGAACGTAGAAGGGAATGCGAGAGAATGCTCAACTTTTACCCCACAAGATGTGCAGAGAATATGTGGGTGAGCCGGGGAGTGGAAAACCTTTTGGAATCAGGGCTAGGCCGCAGGCCCATCCATGGGACGCAATGATAAGAGCGTATGAAAGGAAGTAGGCACGGTTGCCATCGTACGTAAGCCTAGTTGCGCATAACAGCTAATCTAGAGTGGGTGATGGCATGCCACTGCGGCCCGGAGATCGGCCAGTAAATGTCATAAAACAAGACATTAGAACCTTCCGCAAATCTCGTGAGGGTTATACTCGCATATCAAGAACAAATGCAAAAAGACAATAAATGGAAGGCATTAATAAATCGGGCGTTCGCAAGGCGGAGGGGGAGCGGGAGGGCGAGAGGAGGGAACAAAGGGCCATGGGCATAGGACTACTGTGTAGGGGAAAAGGCGGAATGTGGTGACGTCGCATGACAAACGAGAACATTCCAATCAAGATCCCTCCGCGGCTGGCGAGCGAGCGAGCCATTGCGCCCCGTCAATCAAAGATTGTCACCATCAACTTCCATAGATCCTCTAGTCCCACGTGCATTTCCTCCTCGGCCATCTACCTCGCAAAAGCCCGAGGGTGTGTCGTCATCCTATCACCAGCCCAACCCGATGCTGCTTTTTCTATATTCCTACCGGTTATTCACCTTTAGGTTCATTGAATGCTCGCCTAGCCCCTTCGCTGGTTTGCCCCTTAGATATGACATTCCCCCTTCGGCGCCAGGGGTACCACCCCTGAGGTGTCTTCATCTGCTTTGCTTCCTCGCTCTTTTTAACCATTTTCCTTCGTCGCTGGGCCATCGCCGAACGAGTGATGATTGTGCGAGCACATATACGGGTTCCTCCCCCTACCCTACCCCTACCCCCTGGCAGCCCCCTGCTAACCTCACCTCGGGTTAACTTGACTTGCCCGCTCCCCACCCTCTATCCATCCTCGCTGGGGCTGCTGCCCTGCCCAGCGCAGCCCGGGGCTTAGCTTAGGGGGGTAGGACGAAAATCTTCAACACTCATCAATCGCATCCGTACGGAGCAAGGGAAATTTGAAACGTGTTCGTCTGGACCTGCGGGTCGCCCGCGATGTGATCCCCGTCGGCGCGGGCAGCCGGAGATCGAGTATGTGGTGGCAAGCCTGGACCCGCTGTACATACGAGGGGCTGGCTGGCTCGCTGGCTGGCCGGCTGGCCTGTAACTTTCTGTGTTACCGTCATGAAGGGAGGAATATTTGCCGCTCTGCCGAGCCTGCCTCGGCCGGTGACCACTTCTCAGGGCCGGCCAGCCCCAGCCCCAGCCCCTCCCTACCCCCCCCCCCCCCCCCCCCCCCCCTCCACAGCCCCCATCCCTCGCTATAGTGGATCTCGTGTTCCTGGCGTACATTAGCCAGATCCTGTTGTTCTCGTAGGACATGGATCCTCTCTCGTCGCCGAGCAGGATCCCGCTCCAGGGTCCAGAAAACGCTCCAGATTTTCGGTTCCAGCTTCGAATCCATTGCCATGCGGAATCGGCATTAGATCCCGGCTCTCGCAGATTTGCCATTAATTAATTGATGTACTCGGAACGAGATCTGATCGACTGATCTGTAGTCCTAATTTACAATTTGGCAATATTGGGAGCCATCGGTGCGGAGGGGAAGGCCATTCGTGATGGAATGCGAGAATTAAATTTGCGCTCGCCGAGGGGTTAGTGTGTGGCTACTCCTGCAACGACAGATATAGAGAGAGAGGGGGGAGAGAGAGAGGGCACGAGATGTATACAGGGCTGGCCGTGGGCGTAGATGGAGGGATCGGAGGGCTGAGACAGAGATGACGTCTAAGGGAAGTGGGCGTTGGCTCGGGTTGTGGAGGAGAGCGAAACCCGCGGCCCGATGGAAAAGATGTTTGTGGACCGTCTGCGGAGAGGACAGCAGACGAACGGGAAGTTAAGAAGAAGCGCAAGAAAGGGTGTGTCGTCTTCCGGCAGCTGCTGTTCGTTGTTTTGCGCCAGATCGGATCTCCAGATGTTCGAGATCGCGCGCAGAGGCGACCTGAAAAAGCGATATTTCGCGCAAAAGAGCACGCTGGAGTCTGGACCCGAGGTCCAGTCCGAGTGGCCGAGCAGGCGAGACGAGAAGCAAAGAGCAGAGCAGAGCAAAACTGAACTGAACTGAGCTCAACAGAACTGCCCTGGCCTGGCCTGCGTCCCCTCTGCTATGCTCTGATCTGGAGTCTGGACTGGACCGGTCTGGTCTGCGCAGCTGCATTGCATTGCAGTGAGTGCCTCCTACTAGTCTATGAATGAAGATACTCTCTCTCAGTTTTCTCTCGCTGCTACTGCTGCTGCTGCAGCTTGCCACTGTAATGGACGATCGAACAAAAAGTACTATGAACGCCCTGCCTGACAGGCGGGCAGCCGAGCAGATCGGGTGGGGGAGCTCCGTGCCGGGCCGTGAGGGGAGGGAGCTCGGAGAGAGAGAGGAGGAGGAGGGACGCTGAAATGGATGACAGGTAGCCTCTGAGAGAGAGAGAGATGGAAAGAAAGAAAGTGAGCGTGAGATCGAAGATTCAGCTCAGATCTCACACTCGGGGCAACACCGACAGAAGGCACCTGAGTACGGCTTGGGCTGGCTCGCTGGCCGGGCAGGGCTGAAGCCCGGGTGCATGGGAATGGAGTGGAGTGGAACAGAAGACCAAGACGGCAAAAGGGAGGAACGCAAAGCGCAAAGCGGGGCAAAAGAGGAAATCCGCTCAGAGAGACGGGAGACAAGAAATGTGGAGTGGGCCAGGGCCCCAGGGCGAGGGGGAGAAGGAGAAGGGGGGGGCTCTGGGTGGCAAAAGGATTCTGAAAGAGGTTCTTTTCGGATGGAGAGAGAACTCGAGCGAGCCAACGCTGCTCCTGCTTTCTGGTAAAAGGGGCAGGTCCGATCTAGGGCGGGCTTAGTTGCGAGCCGCGAGCCAGGAAGCAGCAAGCAACAGCCATTTCTCTATTTCTCTGTTGCATGGGAACCCGAGCCTAGCGCTTCACTCTTACCACCATAGTGCAGCCACAGCAGCCCTCTAGCCCCGGAGTATCACAACCTATCTAAGCCCCTGACTCTGACTAGGCCCTCGTCTTCCCCCACCCCCACCTCAGCGGCTACCGCTTTCTTCTCCCTCTACGACTACTATCCCCCTCCATCCCCACCCCCACCCCCCGACCCGTCCTCGTCGTCCTACTCCTACGTACTCCTCTCTATCGTAGGGCTCATCTTAGCCCCGTTTCCTACCCCTCCATTTGCGTTCGCCTTGGGCCTTTCGACGTATACCCAGCTCTCGTTCCGATCTCCCAAAAGCGGTGCTTCGTCGGGACCCGCTGGGAGCCCCCTGTTCTTTTCTGCTCTGCTCTTCTCTGCCGCTCTGTTCTGTTCTGCCCTGCTCTGCTCTTCACTTCTGCTGAATCCTGTGGCTCCATCCGTCCATCCTTCCATCCATCTGCCGGGGCCTTGCCCCCTTGCGGTGTGAGAAGCCCCTCCACGATAGAGAGAGAGAAGGAGAGAGAGGGGGAGAGAGGGAGTAAGCGCCAGCAGCAGCAGGAGCGGCAGGGGCTGGGGCAGGGGCAGCAGCCACCAGGAGCAGCAGCAGCAAGTTCTCTCTTGCACTTTCTGCACCAGCGCCGTACTCGTGTCGGAGGTCACAATTCCTGGGGATGACGACCGGTCGACGTTGCCCTACCCGAACCCTATTTCCCTTCCCCAGGACGGGACACGCTCCGCTGGGCCACACGTGACTTCTCTTCACCGGTATTTCCGTCGCCCTCACTCACTACCCCTTACCCCCTACGAACACTAGCGCCCCACTTGACTGGCCCCTTTCCCTGGCCCGGGGCCTGTCCTGGCACAGTACTCTTTTCGAATATCGACTTTTTCGTCTCGTTGGTGCATTTGTTTATTCGTCCCCTCCATATGCATTCCGTGTACAGTATGTAACGTTCTCCGAGCTCGAATTAGGTGAACCCCGATCAGCTCCGCAGTATGGCCGAGGTGCTGCTGCTGCTGCTGCTCCGACTGCGTATCATTCATTCATTCATTCCTCCATCCATTCATTCAACACAGCGAGATTTTCAATTCCCCCGCCACAATCTCGTCGCATTTTCGCTCTTTCGCCAGTCCCGCTCTATTGGAAAACAGTTGTTCTCGAGGTAGGTATTCTCGTACACAGGACGACGAGGCCGCTGCTCGCGCAGCTTCTACCATGATATCGGCAAATCCACTGCCATTGCATCTCGTCTCATCTCAGCGAAGTTTCGTCCTCGAGAACCCCCTCCCCTCTCCCCCAACCCCAGCCCCCCACCGTCTACCGTAGCCCCAGCCCCAGCCCCAGCCCCCCGGGTCCCTCACGTCTGCCTGCCAGCCAGCCCCTTCGATAATAATACGACCCGGGCCATACGCCGTCTGTAATATATATAATACCACGAGAGGAGGCCTCCGATGGCGAGGGAGACTGGGTGAACGGACGTTAGAGGGTCTGAGAAACGGAACACGTGTTGGAATGAGATTCATAGGTGGACATTAGTCCGGCCAACTAGGGGTATAAAGAGAATCATCGTCATGTCTTTGCAGATGCAGGAGGAGGAGGAGGAGGAGGATTGGGGGAGCACCTTCGTTCTTCGTTCTTCGCCACACCACTGGCCTGCCCGGCCCGGCCCCGGCCCCGGGACTGCACTGCGCTGCGCTATGTTGCCTAGCGAGCAAAAGGGAAAAATATCCACTTTTACCTTGCTGGATTCCAGTCCGAACAAGGACACAGTACACTGTACCATACTGTTCGTACAATCACCTATAATTTTATCTACTGCGCTCAGGTACGCATAGGCCCCCCCCACACCCCATCATGTCGAGCTTCTCTTCTCTGCTCTTCTCTTAGCTGAGCTGAGCTGAGCTGAGCTGCGATTCAATTCACTCCACTCCACTGCACTGCACTGCACTCCACACTCCTTGGCCCCGTTCCACTTTCCGAATTTTCCTCCTCCGCTTGCTGAATCCGGCTTTATGACTCGATTTGCATTCGTCAACTGTTCGGATCGGATCGTGAGCTGCTGCTGCTGCCAATGGACGAGATGGCCACTGTTCGGATCGAAGATCGGAAACTCGGTCTTCTGCTCTCCTCCCCCTTGCGAAGCGCATTTCCTCTCTGCGGGCAAACGTTATCGAGTCCTGTTCCGGGGTCGACGACGATGCCCATTGGATGCGCAGGCCATCGAATTCTGATCATGCTCGGAAGTTCCCTTCCCCGGCCACTGTGCTGCTGGGGGCCATAGGCCTGGACCCTGGAATGGTGGCCTTCGGGTCCTGTCGAGTCGAGCCGAGCCGAGTCGAGTCGAGTTTAAAGAGGCCCGCATCCCGAAATGTTGTCATTCCGTTGTCATACCGTATTGGAGCCGCTGTTCTGTATACAGTAGTCATGTTGGGCACGCGGGCCGAGGAAGGGTGAACACAAATTTGGCCAGCTCAAAATTTCATCATCACAAAATGGTTGGGAATTTAATATAATCAATGAGCGACGAGGAGAACCTTGTGGCGATCCCAACAACTAATTTTTAATCCCCTTGCGTCGAGCGCATATATTTCCATGCGAGATAAGATCCAGCGCTCGCCTCAATGGGCCAAATGAAGCGAGCATTGAGGCGAGGCAGCCAATGGGCAAATTCCCGAGCCTTGCTGCGGAGAAAAGTTATGGATGGTACCTCACTCCTCGTCGTCCTCGTCGTCCTGCTCCTGCTCCTCCTCCTCCACATCCTGCAGGTGTGAGGTGTTCTTGTTCTCCGCACAATATTACACCGAGCCGCATGTTGACTGTTTCTGCATTGCTTGTTCCCTCTCTTTAATTGTGCTCGCTGGTCAAAAGCTCCATTGTTTGAGGGAATTTCATGTCCATTAGGGACGGACAAGGTTGACAATGCTGGTATATGACAAGACAAACACAACATCATCAATGCACACTTGTTTGCCATGGGCCCTCCCCTCCCCCCCTTCCCCGCCTCGTGAGGATCTGAATTCGGCGAGCAAAGTTCCGAGCCATCCCCTTCTCTTCTGACCCTGACTTTGCATTTCTCCATCGCATCTGATCATCGAATACAATATAATAATAAAGCCCCAGCTCTGATGCAAGGACCTGGTTTTCTTCGGTACGAGAAGCTGGCATAATTTATTGCATTATGCGGGAGGACTAGGGACCTCGCAAGAGTGAACCAAATTCCGATTCAGATGTTACTCGAGTCAATCTTTCGGATATTCCTCGGCACCTCGATGAAGCTTATCTTGTGACAGACCGGCGCTAAAACACACATCATTAAATCCTCATGACCTCAGGCAGAGAATCCTGTTTGAATCCTGTTCGAACAGGCATTGCACTGGCCGGGTGCTCCCATCATTTGAGTTGTCTTTTGTCATGGCTGGGATGCCTTTCTACAACACCTCGGCGTGGACCATATTCCATTTGCAGCAGAGTTATGTTCGGCTGTTACCTTGTGCCATCTAATTAAGAGTATCTAGAAACAAAATCCTTCGGCACGACAAATTATGAGATTGCTAAGTTGCAGAGAACATTGTACATCTGAGATTCCGTGACGGGAAACTGAATCTGTGACACCGCCCTCTGACCTCTCCGCGTATCTTCATCTGCCCGCAAGTAGGACCGCGAGAAAAGCCCACTCGTGAAAAGAATCCCAATGCAGCTAATTTGACATTCATGTATTTCTTTTACATAGATTCCAATTTCAGCTTGTAACGGCTAAAAGAAAATACAAAATAAAAGTAAAAGCACCTGTTTCTGTGTTATGGGAGTTTCCATTTCCAGAGCACAGCAGAAATACATTTATGTGGTAAAAGTTTGAATGTGAGTGAATCCCATTTTCTCTCAAGTGCTTGAAATCATTTTGTGTGTTCAGGGTTTAGGGGATTGGAGACGGTGGAGAAGGGAGAGACGAGAGTACGTTAGGAGGTCGGATAATTTATTCACATACTGTAAGAGTTTCTTCAATTTCCATTTCGGGCTACATTAGGATTTTATTTCACAAATATGAAGTAGAGTATATAGAGATATTAATGATCTACTTATTTCAGGGTTGAGAGGGGATTTTCTCAAGTTGGACATACGTTTACGTTTTTGTTCCAATCTATCTTTTTTTCTACATTGTATCTTCTCTACCTGCAATAGTTCTAGAATTAACTAGTCGGACAATAATATAAGAGGAATACAAATGGTGGGGAATCAAAGTGTAGACTTCTATAGGTACCAAGTACATGTACGGAAAGAATTGTAAGGGGACTCTGGCTATGTAAATGATACGTCATTAGCATTTCATATGTGGATTGCGACAAATACATGATGCATTATCATGGTTTACTTTTGTGATTGCTTTAGGTTCAAAGTATATGATGCTATCATACATAGTATGTTAAACTATAGATTATTTTATATTACTATATCTTCATGAGATGTAGATTATATTTTCAAGTACTTTTTGATGTGTGACACACTATGTCACTATATCACAATTCTGTCAAGATCCAATATCAAAACAAGTTTAATCTTACAGTTTTAACTGTTCATAAAACAAGAAAATTAAAGTATACTTATATCAAAGTCTGTCTAAATTCTATGAAAAATGAATAACATATATCCAAAGTATACATATATAAAATTAAAACTCATTGATGAACATACATTGGAACTTTATCTGAATCATTTTATTTCTGAAAATTTTTATGGCTATTTTTATAATTAAAATTATTCTTTATTTTTAATATTATATTTTAAAATAACATGCATGTATCTATCTAATTTTTAATATTAGAAATTAAAATTAATATATTTTATACCTAATAACATGACTCTATAACATGGTTGAATTTACTATTCAGATTACGTTTTGTAAAATATAATTCTAATTCTTAAAAAAATTTAAAGAGGTAAAAAATATTTTATTTATTTTATTCTTTTCATTATTATGTTTTGAATAGAAAATTTTTAAAAATATTTTTAATCTAATCAGACCCGTCTATGTGTTCAATATTGCCAATAAAGTCTCAATACATTAAAAAAAAATTTAATTACCATTTTTACCTTGTTTAAATTAAATTATTTTGCTCTTGATATCCACATAGTTGACTTTATAGACTAATTTAGATAAAATTTCATTTATGAAGTAGAAAATAATAATTTCCTTTAAACACCTATCATCATTTCTAATTTTGGTATAATGTTTCATTTTGATTAACAATGCTGCGGTTTTTATAAGAATATAACATTAATTTTTCTTCTAATTAGTATGAGATGATATTTTTCAATATCCTAAGGCTTCCTCTAATATTTTTTAATATTTTTTATAACGATTGCAAGAAAATTAAACAAACTTGATATTATTGAAATTTAATTTAATTACGTGTTTATCATGATGATTTTTATTTAAATCGCATCTATTAATGGATAGGATGAGTTCGATTAAATGTTGTGATATATTT